TTTTTTTTTTTTTTTTTTTTTTTTTTTTTTTTTTTTTTTTTTTTTTTTTTTTTTTTTTTTTTTTTTTCTCCCTTTTTAACTGTCAAGCAATTTGCATGTAGTAGTGATTTGGATTTGGAGGCAGGGATTCTGGTAGCTACAAAGGAGGCCTTGCTAGTTTGAAGCTTTGTAAGGTTGTCCTTGTTTGTCTATTTTGTGCTCAGCCTGCGAACCTCAGAGATTTTGCACAACTGTGATGACCTGACCAAACACGGACTGAGACACGCAGCTGATTTCTGAGTTTTACTCATGGAATGAATGCCTTGCCGAGTTTCCCGCTTGTAACTGAGTTCTATAAGTCTGTGTGTGTGGCACTGTGTGCACGCTTGCTGGTCTGCATGCCTGTCTGACTGCTTGTTGGCTTTAGTGCTTGTGTGACCCGCAAGGGCACTTGTTCGTTCAGTAGGCCCGAAGGGCCGGTATTTACGTGTGGCCGTGACATTGAGGATTGCAGCAGGGGAAAACACTGAAGTGGCGGGGAAAGAGGCCCGGAACACTTGAAGCAGCGGAAAACAGGCCGGTACCACACCAGGTAGAGACAGATGTGCCGGGTACTCGAGGCCGAGCAGAAGGCAAAAGTTGGCATTTTTAGAGGAGCAGTAGTTGTAGCCTAGGTCTAGGCGGGTACCAGTCCAACCAGCCTATGGCCTGTACGGGCAATATCGAAGGCTGCAATGATGTTTCCCTCCGAAAGGGAGGAGGAGGTGCCGGTTGCTTGGAGGCTGCACGGCACTCGCCAAGAGGAAAGCAGGCCGCTATGTCTCCTGGAGGAGCCAGTTGTTCCTCGTTGTCGGTGTGCAAGTTTGGCGACAGCGCTAGCACTCAGCTGCGCTGGTGGGGACACGGAGGAGGAAGAAGACCAGGGAAGAAGACCAGGGCTAGGAAGAGGAGCGCCAGAGGTAATTACCTGTCTATGGTGGCTGCCATCTTCATCACCTTGGTGGGCGCTGCAGCAGGAAAGCCCAGTTGGGGCAGAGCTAAACCAGGAAAAGCTTCGAGGCAGAGTCAGGCATGGCGGCCTGAGCTAGAGCATCCATAGCTGCTTTCCGTTGTCCTTTGGACAGCAGGGCGATGCCCTGGTAGTCCGCTATAAGACTCGGCCTATGACTTTACGAGGAAGAAGGAAGAGGGGCGGCCATGGCTATGGTGGACCTCATTGACAAGTGATACCTGCAGTAGAAGAGGGACTCAGACATTGATTCTGGATCAGCCATTCGACATTGTTTCCCTCTTCAGACATTGATTCTGGATCAGCCATTCAACATTCTTACAAGGGGGAAGTACGTTTATGTCACATGGGAGTTCGTAATGGGCAGAAAAAACAGGCATCGGCATCTGTGTCAGGGCCTGAGTTCGAAAAGGCGTTC